GGCCACCATGTGCATGTGCATGCTCACACATGCACATAGCTGCCAGGCAGCCTGGCGAGCAGCTCCTACAGGTAAGTCTTGGAGGTGGGGAGGGGAAGTTAAGGAGGAGCAGGGGTTTTGAGGCCACTACAGTGAGGGAGGGAGGGATTGGTGGAGGCTGTTGGGCAGGGCTGGGGCTGCTGCCCAGCTGGAGTGGCACATAGGGCCCAGGGCCAGAATGCATGGCCTCAGTGCCCGGGTGGGGAGTGGGACGGACCCATGAGTGGCTCGTCTGGAGGCGTTGGCTGGCTCCCCACTTCTGTGCACACTCCTGGGGGGCTGTGGGGGGTAAGCTACCAGTGCTTCCTTTCCCCCCTTCCATTCTGAAAACAGGGACAAGCTGGGAGCAAGGTGGGGCTATTGTTCAGGGAAACTGGCTGCAGGATCCTAGCCAGCAGCCAGGTTCCCTTCCCCCTTGGAACCAACAGTGAATTTCTGTTTGGTCTGGGGAGCCTAGGAAAAGACTGAGACCTGGACCAGAGGTCCACATGCTTAGGGAAGGGCTGAGCTGGGCCAGAGGGTCCACAAGTCCTTAGTGGGCTAAATCAGACTAGAGGGTCTGAGAGCCCAGAGGAGGGGCTGTGTGTGGGATCAGGAGTCCAAGACCCCAGAGGAGGTGTTGTATGAGGGACCTGGGGTCCAGGAGTTCAGAGGGAGACTGCATAGGGGACCAGGAGGTTTGAGGGCCCAAGGGGGCCAAGTATACAAACAGATAATATCAAAGGGAGAGAACACCCACGAGGCTTTGGGCGTGGAACAGAGCCATGCATTGAGCCCTTAAGGTTACGGGTGCCACAGAGGGGCACAGATTCACATGTAACCCTTGAAGCTACAGATGCTCTGCAGGGGCACAGGCTGGCTGAGAGGGCCCATTGAGCTTAAGAGTCAAGTAAAGGATACTGGGGGTCCAGGAGAGACCCAGTGGTACTGAAAATAGACTAAAGCTCACTTTAAGGCCTGTGGGCAGCCTCTCTTATTCAACCTCTAGTAAGAACATGGTGTGGTGGGCAAGTAATCAAGGTAGGGCTGTAATAGAGACTGACCAGGCAGGAGTCACATGGTCACCAGGAGGCATCACAGCTGCCCTTAGAGCATGAACCTGCCACATGGCCCCTGAAAAGAAATAGACTGTCAACGAGAATGCCTACTTCTTCTTGCCATCTATCATGTCTCTTTCATTCCTAGCATCTTCACAGGCTCAGATATGTAAGATGAGTTGCCAAAGCTTCCTGATAGTCACATACCTGTGAAGCTCAGAGGTTGAGTACAGTGCTCATCCAGAGCACTTCTACTAATGTCAATCAAGTTAATACTAGATTTACAACAGTGTAGGTGAAATAAGAATCTGGGCACTGGTGGAAATGGATCACTGAAGAGGACCTTATTGAGACCGTCAAAGGTTGGATTTGTTTTTCAAGGGTGGCCTGTTTTTCTAGTTTTAGATTCATACATTGTTAGGGGCTGGAAGGGACCTCGCAGATCATCAGGTCCAGCCTCCCCACTCTAGGCAGGAAGACAACTGGGGTCAAGTGACCCCAGCGAGGTGACTGTCCAGTCTCCTCTTGAAAACCTCCAGTGTAGGTGACTGCACCACAACTGGAGGGAGTTTCTTCTACAGTCTGGACACCTGGACTGTGAAGGAATTTTTCCTGGTATTAAGCCTGAAGTGGCTTTCCAGGAGTTTATATCCATTGGTCCTGGTCTTCCCCAGGGATGCCCTAGTGAACAGTTGTTCACCAGGCTCCTGATGCACACCTCTGATATAGCGGTAAGCCGCTATTAAGTTCCCTCTCAACCTTCTCTTCTCTAGGCTAAAGAGGCCCAGGTCCCTCAGTATGGTTTGCCTTGCAAGTCCCTGATCATACGGGTGGCTCTTTTCTGGACCCTCTCAAGGTTTTCCCCATCCTTATTGAAGAGCAGCACTCAGAGCTGGACACAGTACTCCACCTGTGGTCTCACCAGTGCTGAATACAGCAGGAGTATCACTTCCTTAGTTTTACACAAGATGTATCAGTCGATGCATGCCAGAGTGTTGTTTTCCCTCCTGGCCATGACCTTGCACTAATGGCTCATGTTCATGTGATGGTCAGTCATTACCCCTAGGTCCCTTTCAGCTGTGTGCAAGTCAGGCTGTTATGGAGCTGGAGCAGCCCCCAGCTCTGTTGCCTCAATTAAGCATTCCACTTCCAATTGTGTCATGCAGAGGGACCTGTAAGTGAAGTGTTAACCAAAGTTGTGAATCTCTGAAAGTCTTGTTTTGTAGATTCAGTCTGTCTGTCTGAGATCTGGATTCAGGGTGAGTTCGGTGAAACTACTCAGAGTAAGATAAATCAATGTGAGAAAATTATATAGCTAGGCCTTAATTCTACATTTAGCGTTTATATGGCGTTGTTTGTGCAGAATTTCTTTGTCCCTTTCTGTTATGTGGAGATTCACTTATCCATGTTTCCTAATCGATGCACCAAGTACAGGATTGGAAGACTGCTAAAGAATGCTTTTTTCATTCAGATTTCACAGAACACCAGAATATGCAAGCTGAATTGCATACTTAGGGTGAAGCCATAGTCTCACTATGGGAGTTTTGCCATTTCTTGCACAGAGCCAACCTGTTTTGTTTCTTTTTAGTATTCTTCAGATCCATTTTTCATCCACCATAGTTTTACACACACAATTCATTCATTCTTTTTCCTGGATGGATGGATGCTGAATTTTATAATCAAGCCCATATGTCAGCAAATGCATGTTATGATAATACCTATGAACCTACCTTCTACTAACCAGTACCCACATCTTTAGGGAAGTGACCTCAGGGCATCCCCTCATGGCTCGCAAAGCCCTGTCAATAAATTCGACCAAGATCTAATCAAGTGATTCTTGCGAGCATGGGACTTCTCCAGTTTAACCAAACAAATTATATCTAACCAAGGAATTTATATCTGTATTTTATCTTAGGGTTCCTTTTAACATTTTTAAATTTATAAATATCACACTTTACTCAAGCCAAGTTTCATGGAAGAAATAAGGGATGGTTCACTTCTCTCATTATATTTGCTTTTAGCTACAACTAGTTATAGCTAGGCCCCCTGCAGCCATTATATTTTTTCCATGTTATATGCAAGTGTTGCATGACAAATTGTTACATGCCAGACATGAAACCAGTTTATGATTAGTGGTGGATCAGCCCCAAAGAAGATGCTCTTTGAAACAGCAACTTCTCTGTGGTGTGGAAGTATCCTGCAATAATGTTAACATTGGATAGTTTGCATGTTATGATTTGTCATGCAATTCTTATATATAACATGTTGACATGTAACATCTGCTATGAGCCTTTGAGAATACCTCAAGGAAAAAATCCAATCATTCTTAAACATCAACCAGATATTTGGCCCTCAGTTTTGAGAATTCCAAGCTCAAACACAGAATATATTTCATCAGAATTGAAGTTTTTTATTTCTTTTGTTAGATGGGCTGAGACTCTAGGGGTAACTACACACCATGCACCACTCTGCTTTCTTATCTTCCTTCAAAGATTTGACATATCAATAAACAAAAGTAATGCAAATAAATATGGATTTTTCCCCTGGCATTTGGCAGATGCAGAACTGCAACCTAGAGACACATGCTTCTCAGAGTTGTGTTCCAAAAGAATCGAAAATGTTTAAATTCAAAATGAACCATCTGTGACAATCTCAGAACAGTGCCTTATTTCCGAAAGTATAAGCCTGGGAATAGATGTGAAACTGTATAAAGCTGTCAATTAAAATAATCTAATATAGGCCTTTCTGCCCCCTTTTTGGTGTGAGTTTTTAAACCATCTATTCTTTGTTTCTGTAGTATATTTTTTTAAGGAGAGTGAGAAATTAAAAGGAACACATTGAATTTTGTAGAGAACCTAGATTTACACTGTTCAGGGTAATGTGTTGAAAGATGTATTATCACAGGAGTTTGCTTGTCTGTGCATCAGATTCACAGCTGCTGTAAATTAACATTGTTTCATCAAAGTCCATTCTAAAATCATTTTTCAATATGGACTTTTATTATAGTTTTTAAAAAATAGGTATTCACCATTTCTGCATTTGGAAGAAAACTATGAATCTTCCATTCAGAAATTAAAACCAGTGAGTTGCTCCCACATTTTCTGTATTCAGAATAAAATATAGAAGTTGCAGAGCTGTCGTAGTAAATAGAAACACATGGAAATTTCCCCTTTGCCCAGGTAATAAGCACATTATAAGTTGGTGGGCTATACCTTTGGATTTGTAAGTGTAGAAGTTGGTCCTCTGAATTTTCAACAAGGGCTTCTTGGAAAACATCCAGGAGAATTCAGTCAGGGACCATCGAGACTCTGTCACCTTATAAAATACCAAAAGCATTTTCAAAAAAATCCACAATGATGCTTAATATAATTATTGTTTTCTTTTTTCTTTGCCAAGTGAATTTATGACTACATTATAAGTTATCAGGCATATTTGCCTTAATTGGACTTGCATGTGTACACGTGGAAGGTAGAATGTACCTCAAACGATTAAAGGGCCAAATTTGTTAAAGCACTTCTCTTCACAGATGTGGGTCCACCTCTTATGGCTGCATTTATGTGACCACTGAGAACATTAATCATAAGGCTTATTTTTATTTCTGCTATCTAGAGGATTATTTGTTCAAAAAATAAAATCACATTAAAATGGATAAATGCTCAAACAGTTATAAATAGCGTCCACCAATAAATCATTAATGAAGGTAATGGTTAGTTTCTAACAAACAAAATGACAAATGATATACCCTGTACCCAATTCTGCTGCCCATCTTTATTTCAAACTGCTATCACAATCAAAATGAGGTTGCATGTGATCCAATTGTGATCCTGCCATATGGCTTCTCTGTCTTGTATTTTATAGGGAAGTCTCATAAAATCAAACTGAATGGTCAGTTTCATTTATGTATTCATAATTTCTTTACTTTAGGTATTCATTTCAAGATGAAGAAGACATGTTCATGGTGGTAGATCTGTTACTTGGAGGGGATTTGCGCTACCATTTACAACAGAATGTGCATTTTAATGAAGGAACGGTTAAATTATATATTTGTGAGCTGGCACTTTCACTGGACTATTTGCAGAGATATCATATAATTCACAGGTAAGTGACCAGTATTTGTTTCATTAGTAAAGAAAATAAAGATATGAAAGAAAAAAAGGACTTCTTGACTTAGCCACAGGGGAAAGTCTTCATATTGTAGTTGCTTGCATCTCATTGCATCATTTTACATAATTAAATTCTGTTTGTAGGTGTTACAAAATTATATTTAAAGGTTGACTTTGACCCTTGTAGCTTTTTAAGACTTTTACCCTCATTTCATTTTTGTAAAAGTCCTGTTTCAACTCTGTTTCCTTGTTCCCTTTTTGTATCTGCTTATACAAGAGGCATGGTGAATGCTTACTTAATAGCATTCTTACTTAATATTAGATGCAATATCCAGGAGACTGCTTTTAATATTTAAATTTCCTTACAGTTTTCCTGAACACACATTATAAATCAATGGAACAACTGTGGGAAGGAAAAGGCCATAAAAGCAAAAAGCATCTGAGTGACTGATGGTAGGAAACTAGTTGTCAGATTCCAGAAAGATAAGAGATTTACAGGGGAAAATAGGAGAAACAGAAGAAAATAAAGGGTATAGATATGTAACAACTGTATAGCTATCAAAGGATACTGATACAAGCTGTTATGATGGAACTGTTATGCCTCCATGATTCATATTTGCTACAAATGTAGCAAAACCATTTTACCTTTAATTCTGCATCATCCAGGGTCAAAATTAGGGCAGTTTAACTCATCTGCGTCACTAATGTGGTGGTGGTGGTAAAGTGCTCTTGTAGCCATGATGACCTAGGAAATATGCAAGAGAAAAGAATATCAACCCCCCAAATATCATTTTATCTTGTATCAGTGAGACATAACACTTGTAACAGCTGTGGTATATTTGCAAGCAGCAGCCCCTGCACCTCTCCTGAGGCAGCTCAAATGTACATTTGTCCATAGCCAGAGTGGAAGAAATAATATACGCTGTGGGTGTCCCCATGAGCACTCATGTGTGGTTTGCAGTACCACAAACCTGTCTGCAGCGTCACAAACCACATATGCCGTGTGTATGCGTTCTCTTCGCTGCTAATTTGCAGTGTGGTGGGTCTTTTTGACATGAGGAGATCCCGGTGTAAAAAAAAAACTGCTCCAAAAAAAAGAGTAGGGTGGTGCACATGGCTGCAGCATGTGCTGCCTGAAACCAGAGCTTGGCCAGGCTCTACACTGGATCACCATTGCTGCAGCTCTGGGACACCCCCAGAACCCCAGATAAGGCTGCTGGGCCCAGTCCAGGTGCTGGCTCCAGCTTTCCCTACCCCATTGGGGCAATTTGTCATGCACCAGAGTGCATGTGCATGGGCATGCCCGGGAACAAGTAGCAGTGGCACAAATGTGTGCCACTACTACTTGTGCCTGGGGAAATGCTCATTCCCAGTCATGGGGATGTGCCCTGTGGGGGCAGAGAGAAGTGCAGCTCCCTGCTGTAACTGTGAACACTTTGCAGAAAGTGTTCGGAGTTATTACAATCCCCCAGACCAAAGACAAGTTCACTGTTGGTTCCAGGAGGGAGGGGAATCTAGCTGCTGGCTGCTAGCCTGCAGCCAGTTTCCCCTAGCAACACCCATCCTCTCTCCCAGACTGTCTCTGTTTCAGAATGGGAGCGGAGAAAGGGAGCAGAGGGAGCTTGTTCTACAGGTTTCCCCAGCTGGTGCTGAAGGGTGGAGTGGGTGAATTGGACCCTCCCCCATCCCCCACCCCCTTGGCTCCAGTACACCCATCCCACCCTCTAGCAGGGGGTGAAAAATCCCCAGACCGAACTCCATCCGTTCCCTTTCCCTGCCCCCATTCTGAAAACAGCAACAGGCTGGCAGGCAGACAGACTGAAGTTAGAGAAGATATCTGTTTTGAGATGTCTTCTTCTGGCCCCTCAAGCAATGAGGGGTCAGATTTTCACTCGGTTAGCCATTTTTAAAGCTGTGTGCAGCTGTGCACTTGTGTTTGATCACGGCTATAAACCACTTTCTGCAGCTAGATCATGTGAATATTGTCACTTCTGTCTGTGCCCTGTTTTCCTTTGAGGCAGTTCTGATATTGAGGTAGTCAGTTTTTTAGTTTGTTCTTAGTAGTCTTTCTTGAATGATTCTAAACCGAATTCAAGTAGAGAGGTACATTCCCATGTAATTTCAATATAGTTAATTGTGGAATAAAAACATGGGTGTGGTACAACTCTGAATTTCTTTTTACAGCAATGTAATTTTATTTGATTTTGTGGATTTCCTCTTGATTCCCAATAATACAGCTGGGAGGAGAATTGGGCCTCACATCACCAAAATTATTTGACTTGAATTTTAGGCAAAAATTAAAATAATTCATGGAGTGGATCTGCCAATGATCAACATAAATGGGTTTGTCTAAACAACCTGCCACCCTGTCTGCCTACCAGTAGTGCCTTGTGCTACTATATGACAGAGCCAATTAAAACTATGTTATGACTCTGTAGAGGGGTTAAAGTTGTGCAAGAGGGTTATTTCTGCAGTTATAAGAATAGGTTAGGCAAACACTTGTATACAGTGGTTTTGTCAAGGATGATATTGCTTTAAGCATGGACTAGATTACATCCAGAGGTCCCTTCTACCTCTACTTTTCTGATTCTATGTTTCTAAGTATAGGTAAGCTACTTCCTCCAATCTGAGTTGAAGCAGGTTTGGATGGCTTCATCTATTGTTATTGAAACTGTGGGAGGTAGTGTGGGGTGGAGGGAGACCTTCAAGTAAAGTTTGCCACAGTTGACTTTCCAGCATGGTAAATTTAGAGAAATAATCCAAGAAGTGTTTGAACTTTTGTATCTATAATACAATATTAATAATTTTCTATGTATTCCATGATTTTTGCCATTTTCTTTCCATTTCCAGTGATCATTTTTTAAAAGCCAGGCTTGGAATTTTTGCTGGCTTCTCTTTTTATGCCATAAGGAGTGCTTTTTGTGAAAAACAAGTTGTTGTGGATTTCTCTCTTTCATTCAAATGATGAGACCTGTTTGAACAGTGAGCTGTCAAAATATTCAAAAGAGAACTGAATTTGTACCCAAACCTTAGGTACCAAGTGTTACAAACTTGAGTCTTAGACAAGCTTGAACAGAAGTACTGTGAATATTTGGAAACATCTTGAGTGAGGGTGCAGGTTAAGGTAGTAGTGGGTCCATTCAAAGTTTGACATCAAAGTTAATGACCATAGTATAAAATGAGGTAAAACTCAAAGGTTTCAGTGTACAGTTGCCTCTGTTTGCTTCGTTGAATACTGTACAAGCATATCTTGAACTTCAAAGCCTAATTCTTCTCACTTGTTTCAAACTGGTGTAATTTCACTGACTTGAAAATAATTTCTGTTAATTTGCACCAGTTCAAGAAGAGAATCAGATCTCAGATAATAAGATGGCTAACATGCCTTTCAGTGTCTTAAGTAAATTAGCAAAGTGTTTTTTCTTTAAGCCAAAGTCACCTATACAGTTATTAGACTGCTGCTTCTAATTCCTGTTTTAGGATTACCACGAAGATGGTATGGTATACTTCTGCTTCTAGTATAACTGGCTGGAAGATGACAATTCTCTGTTGTAGAGAAATTTTGAGTTTTCAAAATTCATTTTTCAATTCACATTGGAACAAAGGTCTCCCAAATATTTTCATGAAAAAACAATTGTGTCAAAGGGTGTGTCTACATATTCAATTAACGTGCTTTAGGTAATGTGCATTAAATCTGGTACCTCCATTGTGAGGAACTAGAAAAAGGTGCATTTAGCTTATTTTAATATGCATCAGCTAAAGAGCACTTTTTTGTGATTCTTTAATGTGCTTTAATAGGCTAATGTGTATTAAAGCGCATGTGTAGACATGCCCATTATGTCTGTTTTTGGACTAAAAATGTATATGGTATAGTGTTTTGAATGTGTGAGAAATCCAGTTTCAGTCCCTGTGGTGCTTCATGTAGATCAATGTTTCATTCAAAATCACATGCTCCTGGAATAAGGCAGCTGGCCTAATCACCCAACTGCAATACAGAAGAGTCTTTGTTTCACCTCCCCAAAGAATTTTTTTTTTAAAAGAAACATTTTGAGCTCAAACATTTTATTTAATAAAAAAATATTCCAATAAGCTCCATTATCAATACTAATCTAAAATTCAACTTTATTGGCCAAATCTTCATGTGGTGTGTATCAGTGTAGTAATGGCACCATGATGATTGAAATGTAATGCAACATTATTAGACAGTTTTGAAATACATATAGCCACTGAGAAAAGAAAATGGACGTTAAGAAAAGAACTTTCAGAAAATGTTGTGAACACTATTGCTACAACTTAAAGCACAATCCAGTTAGTATTCTTGGGATGGTATGGTATAGTATTCTATGGTACATATTAGTACCAAATATCACTAATAACATTTCAACAAAATGTTACGACTCAGTGTTCACAGGTTAATCTATAACATCATATTAAAGCTGTGTTTTGGAAGCTTGTTAGTAGCCTAGAAAGAAATTGGTAGTGATTCACTGAGAAAGCAATATGCTAAATTTTTCTCTGTTCTACAAAGGAAGAGCAGTGGAAAGAATCATCAGACTGAGTAGGATTAAAATTGCAGGATTATAAAGGACTGAATAGCTTGAGTCAGTATGAGTTAGGAACTTATATTTTCCTAACATACTGTACTGTTTGGATACTGTATGAAATGGGTATCAGTTTTCTGTTACCTCCAGCTATATGGTTATAGTATTTTCCCAAGTCTAACCTGCAGTCCCATGAGTGTGTGTGTGTGTGTGTGTGTGTGTGTGTGTGTGTGAGAGAGAGAGAGAGAGAGAGAGAGAGAGAGAGAGAGAGAGAGAGAGAGACAACTGGAATGTAGCTTTTTTTCCTTCCCCTTTAGCTTCAATTACCAGCTCCTGAAATCTGTTAAGATTTAGAGATCTGATATACCCTAGAAGTTATTTCCAAATGATAGTTGCCCATGCAGAAACCTTGAGTAATTCTGGTGATATTTTTTTCAGTTTGACCTTTTAATAGACT